AAAACGGCTACTTACTCAACACGGATGAACAGTTTACGGTTTGAGCTCAGACTTGAGACCTCACACAGTATTGTGTTTCTTCAGCAGGTGGCTCAGCGTCGACTTGGCATTTTACCGCCTGTGTTGTTGAGCTGGAGAAGGTCTGTCCTTCCCCGCAGTGCTCTGTGCTGCCAGTAATTACCTCAATTCATTCTACAACAGCTTAAGTGCTAACAAAGCTAATCTTGTTAGAATGATTTGATTAGCGAGAACATCAACCACTATCACACCTCCAGGCTATGAGCACCAAAGATCGTTCACGTTTCTGACCTTAATCACCCAGAAATGATGTATTACAGAGTAGGTATTTACAGCAGATTGACTCATTTATTAGATGGAATGCAAATCATCCGCCACCTTTCATGCTCGAATTTTAAACTAAGATCCTCTAATAATAAAAAGTAATGTAGTTATAGTTGCTTTGGTCAACATGGGATTGGTCGATGTGTGATTAGAAGTCAGAGTATGCATTGAGTATGACTCTCAGCTACTACCACATCAAATTTAATTAAATATTTCACCCACTTTGAATGTTATCAACAATTAAATGGCCTATTATCAGTTATCATCCCCATGTGGAGTGTTCAGACTGCCCCTCCTGTACCTTCTAGTGTGTTTAAAGGTACGTCGTTAGCGTTGTTAGCACTGATAATAGGCTCATGTGGTTAGGTAGGTCCAGAGTAAAGGGTCTGGGGGTTAAGTTTAGGGTCAGTGCTCTGGGTCAGGTGTAAGGTTAGGTTTAGGAAAAGGGTTACATAAAGCTGACAAAAACAAAAACACTTCCTGTTTTACCCGTGTGCGACGCTGCATATTATCAGCGATACAAACATAACTTTAAACCTACTAGGAGGTAAGAGGGACAATAATGTCCATTTAGTGGGCTGATGACATCTGAAGCCGCTGAATACATGTATTTGTAAGTCTGTTTAAGGTAAAGCCATTTTTGTGTTGCTAAGGTTGATCAACATGAACTGGGTTGACTCCGAATGTTAATCAGTTGTAAAATTACCTGAGTTACAGCCATTTCTGTTTTACTGATCTTAAATCTCAAAAGCAGATGGCTGCTTGTCTTGAGCCTGGTTCTGCTGGAGGTTTCTTCCTGTTAAAAGGGAGTTTTTCATTTCCACTATATTGCCATTGTGCTTGCTCAGGATGGGAGACTGTTAAGAAGTGAAGATTCAACGAGTCTGCTGGCTTCCTTAGATAGAGAACTTTACTTATTGGCTTTTCTATGTGCAAATGTTTCTGTGAAGTGCCCTGAGACAACATTGTTGTGACAGCCTGGATGGGTAGGTGCACAGTCATATGTGAGCAGAGTGAACAGGAGAGGGCTCAGCACACAGCCCTGAGGGGAGTCAGTGCTGAGGGTTAGTTTCTGTCCAGTGGTTCATGAGGTATTCAGTTAACAGGCAGACAGTGTTGACTCAGACAGGGGTACAGTTTTCAAACCAGACATCACAAAATAACTTTGTTCTTAAAGTATCAGTTGGGTGAGTTTCTGATTCTACCACATCAAATTTTAGCTCAATATCTGTACAATTGACTAAGTTCTAGCTATGTTTGTGTTGTGTTAGGTTAACTTTCTAGGAAAATATCTTGAATCGGATTGACTCCAAAAGTTATTTAGTTGTAGATGTACATGCATTGATCTTTTCCTGATAGATTCACAACCATGAAGTGGTTTATGAAGTATTTTGCTAACACAGCAAACACAAGCTCAGACAATAGCACAAGCATTTCCAGTATTTAACCTTCCTAAGTGAGCCTTAATTAAAACCGTCCCCCTTTCCTTCTTTAGAGGTACCATCCCTTAAGATTTCCCACATCCTCTACTCCACACCCATCTCCTTTTTTTTTTTTTTTTTTAATCATCACCATCTGTTTTTGCTTGTACTCGAAGAGTGTAAATCACTGCTGAAGTGCCGGCTGTTGCAGCAACATCCTGTTCTTAGTAAAAAATATTTGTTTTTGTGGAAAATGCAGCTTGAGATTTGGTACCCAGATACAAAATCCCCTCTTCGCTTCCTGAGAGGTCCTGTGGGTCAGATACAAGTTGTTGATAGTTTTTGTCGCATCAAGACGGAAAATGTGCAAATGAAGTGATATCGTGCGTGTGCTCATTACTGTGACAGGTTACACTGAAAGTTAGAATTTGCCCGACGGATTACTCCTATTGTTCGCGGTAATTGAAAATAAAATGAAAGGTGTAAATGGCTGTTTCTGTGGGAGGGGAGGCACTTGCCTGCACCACCTGCTCTTCTTGAAAAATGACAGGTATAAAACTGAAGAGCCCTTTGCCTACATGTCATGGTCTTTGTATCTGTTGCCTCTTGACCCTTTGTAACCTCCAGAAGGTTATCTCCTGTAGAAACCTAAAATGTGATTGTTCTCAAGTGACAAGGTCACACCTGAATGAGCAAAAGCCACCAAACAGGCCCTCCATGTGGCCTCTAAGTGTTTGTTTTTCCCTTTTTCTTTCCCCGTTTGTCTTTAACCCCGGTGATGGCTTTGTTCATCACCAGCACTTTGGTTACTGAAAGTGAGGGGAAGCTTTAAAGGATGACAGCCGAGCCACCTTGTCCATCACAATCTCCCCTCCCAGGACGCTCAACAAGAGGTGAGTTCTCGACACCTGTCAAGACCCGGAAAAAAGAAAAATAGCGGGAGACAAATAACTTTAGTGCTGAGCCGTGCCTGAAGGTTGTTTTCAGTCCCTAAAAATAGACATTCTTTGGTGATGCAGTCAGATTACACATTAAACATTCCTGAGGTATACGTGCTTTAGATTCCTTTCTTTCAAGCTACAGACCATGCATTCATATTTTTATTGTGTTTATGTGCTGCCATGTTTTCATCAGTAACAGAATTTACTTATGACAAAATGAACATAAAATCTATTTTTTAATCAAATAATTTTAAATTTTTGCTGGGGATCAATATCTGTCTATCTATATATATATATATATATATATATATATATATATATATATATATATATATATATATATATACACACACACACATATATATCATCCATCCATCTATCATCCATCAACCTCTATCATCATCATCCATCTGTCAATCTATCCATCTATCCATCTATCATCCATCCATCCATCCATCATCCATCCAACCTCTATCCATCTATCATCCATCCATCTATCATCCATTCATACATACATCCATCCATTCATCCATCCATCCATCTATCTATCATCCATCCATCCATCCATCTATCATCCATCCAACCTCTATCCATCTATCATCCATCCATCCATCCATCTATCTAATGCAGTAATTATTTGGTAAATATACATTGAATTTGATATTTCTACTGTTGCTGTATCAAATGGTGCAGTTTGAACATGTTATTAATGATAGTTTTTTATCCATACTAAAATGCAATTCTGAAATATAGTTATCTGTTGACAGTCTGCTTTTAAACCGATAAATCATCTTGTACTCTTTTAACGTGGTCTTGATCACAAATTCTCAGGTTTTCTGAAAGTTGTTGAAGTTTTTCTTTGGACTTGGGCTGCCTTTCTTGTTAGTTTCTTCCCATTATCTTTACAACATGTGCAGTGGGTGTGCTTAAAAATTGAGGGGAATTAACAAAGATCTAAGGTAAGATCAGTGCTCTTCTGCTGATATGAGTGTCCTCCAACAGGTCTGAAAACTTTCCACAGCAGATGAACGGTATCTTGATGTCTTTAAGAAACAGGGAAAAAAAATCTATGAGTGGTGCACAATACTTCAGCTGATTGTATGTCAAGTTTTTAACTAATAACACTTTGGTAATTGTTATGTTGGTACTTAAACATTCTTGTGTCAAACCAATTGGAACAAACTGAATTTCTGTGACAGACACACACCCAAAGATTGATTCCCTGTAATGTTGTATGATATGGTTCAACTAAACACTGGTTCACCCCTTGAGTTAAGATATTGTTTATACCTGAATGATTTAGTCAGAGTTAGATGGCTTGACAAAAGGATTTCCCTGAAAAATGGTAAAGCAGGACTAAATGTGAAAAAAAAAAAAAAGCCTTAGTCACAATAATTTTTTTTACAAGGCCTTAAAAATACGTAGAAAATTATTAATCAAGATCACATTAAGTGATTAAATGAAAGTGATTCCTTAGATTAAAATAGAAAAAAGTGGGCATGACGAGACTTTTCCACAGTACAGTTTGGAAGTTGTTTTCCTCAGAAGGGCTTGAAAAATAACAAAAATATTTGCCTCAAATTCCAAAACGACAAACAGACCATGTTTACTCCTATTGTTTTACCCCTTAAAAAAAAACTTGTGATAATGAATCCCATACTCAAAAGAGGAAATGTTCCAAGGATCCCCAGCAAGGAATGGAAAACCCAACTCTAGCTTTTCGGCCTATCCCAACTTCCTCCCCTCTCAGATCGCCCCCAACAACGCAACACGACTGGAGCTGAGAGCCTGCTCGTGGCAGCTATTATTACAACGTGATGACAGGCCCAGTCACAATCAGAACCTGGCCATTCCTTTCACGATGAGCAGAGGACGAGGCCCGGGGGACTGCTGTGATGAGACACAACACGAGCGGGAGCCAAGAGGTGGTCGAAAACATTTCAAACTGCATGCATGGCTGCAACTTCCTAATCAAACGGCTTCACTTAATGATGCGTTCTTATAAGATTGTGCAACAGGCTGAGATGTGTCTCTTAGATTGTATTAAAGTGATTGAAGGCAGACATTAAGAAGGAGAGGTGATGTTGAGCAAGAACTTTACTTTGGTTGAATAGAGATGAGCTGGGAAGAAACATAAGTGACTGGCTGCCGTATTATTCATTCATCATTGGTTGTGTGTGTGTGAGAGAGAGGAAAAGGGAGGGTTTGTGGGGGGTGCTGGATGGGGAGGGGGCTGTATGTGCAGTAGTCCTGCTCATCTCACTCCACGATTTAAGTTAAATCAGAGGCAGTTACTGGCACACAGCTGTGGTGGTCTCTTATCGTTGTGCAGCTCTGAAAGCATCAACAGCGTCCACGCCACAGGTAAGAGTCCGCATCACTCTCAGGACTGGGTCTCATCAACTTTTTTGTTTCAAGTATCCAAAGCTTTTATTTCACAAACCTTTCTTGAACTGCTCAAATGATATATCGCAATCCAGAAGCAGAACGATTTATAACTATATATACGTTGTACTTTAAAGTGAGCGTTTGCACAGAATCAGAACACGTGCTCGTTTTAGCAACCGTCTCAACACGGCCTGTCGTTGCTGTCAAGTTAGTTGCGTGGAAATCCTTTGAATCCTTTAAAAAAAATGGGCTATGAAATTGTGATAAGAATTCACAACTGTATTACGCAATCTATATAATTTAAGGTTTCATAGATCCATTTCCTGTTAAATAAAAAAATGCATATATTCGTGCCTTCTGAAAATCCTAACTTGTGAAGAATTTCATTTCAAAGTGTGGATGGAAAAATGAGGATAAAGAAATCCAGAGCCTTATTAGAGAGAAAACAGGTGGTGAAATGAAGAAAGACAGTTTTGACTGAGCAGAAAATATTTCAAACTTATTTAAACATTTTCACATTACGCTTTCGTCACAACTCTTTTTATTCTTTTGCTTCTAACAGCAGCTTCATGTGCATGCAGTGAAATAATCCTCTAATAAGCTATCGCAGCTAAACATAAGTGGGTGAGAAATGCATCTCTTATCTGTCATGTTACTGTAATCAAACATAGCCGTGCATAAAGTGAATGATGACTCCAGATGCAGAGGTTAGTGTGTCACATGGGCAGCAGACTTTTGTAAACAGCATCTGTAGACATAGCTTCTGGAGTCAATCATGAGTCAGATTGTGCACTCTGACATTTACATTCCAAGTGTTACAGCCACAATATAATGCCGTCTTGTAAAATGTGCATTTATTTTTATTTAGCCACAAGAAATATGTAGCAATTCTGCAGCTGAAGTGACGACCCACATGAAATTGCGTATAATTTTGCAGTTTTAAAACTGCTAGTGGAGAGTGGCAATAAATTCACGGTCCTGTGACATGTTAAACAGTGAAGGGTGTAAAATTTGAAAGCGGCCATTGTTGCAGAGCTTCCTGTTGACCAAACTGGGCCGAAACAGCATTTAAACGAGAGGATGATCAGTGGTGGTGCAGTGAGGTGAACTTCACTTCAATATGGGCTGGTATAAATCATTAACTCCATCAAGCCGCGAGCTTAAGTGTCTCTCTCTCTCTCTTTTAGTGACCAGATGGTGGTGCTCATGTCAGAGCAGAGAAGTGCTCCAGAGCTGAGCCTCCGATTGCTCAGTTGACGGGAACACTGCTTCAAACTTTCTTCAAATTGTATTGTTTTTTTTTTTAAATTCCATGACCTGATGTAGGAAGAGGCGGCGTTTAAACCGCGCTATAGGATTACATGTGGAATGTTGCAACTATGGAATCAATTCGAAGTCAGCTATGAGCTGTAGGGCAAACATGTCCCCAAACTTCCTCCAAATCCTGATTTTATTGTTCATTGTGAGCAGCTTTTTGTTTGCTTTAAGCATGGAGCCTCGCAGTCTTTTGTCTTGTCTTAGAGGATGCAGCTTGCTCATGCGGGCCTTGCGAAGAAGATGTTTACCTTCCTGTCTGTGGTCACCCAGGGTTTATGGCTGCCATTCAGTAATGTGCCATCGCACTCGGAGCTATAGCTCACTGGGCACAGTAACACTTAATAACCTGCTTCCGATCCACCTTCTGTCTGAGGCACCTCACCTATTTGATAGGACTTACATGCATATATGCACTGCAATGATATTTAGCTGTGTTTATATGCCACTGCCCTCTCTGTCTGTCTTGACCTCATGGAAAAATACTGGAGCTTAACTGTTCCGGTCATGCTAAAAGTTGCATACTATCAGTTAATCCCAGTTTTCCTGGATAAGCATCTACGCGTTGGATTTTGAGTTAGCTGATAAAAATCCATACATTCTAGTGGATGTGTTAAACCCCTTTTATAACCCACTGCTCTAATCGTTAAAGATAATGTGAATCACATTGGAACCACTGCTTTGCAGAGACGCTGGTGACCGTCCAAGTAGAGATATTTTATTTGGCACCTGCACTAATTCCACGCTTACCAACCCTCACACCTGCAATCGATATGGCTGTTGCTTTAGCGCACAAAGAGCTCGGCCACCGAAAGCTGGTGGAAAATGAAGAGATCCTGCAATCAGAGATAAAATAGTTCCACGCCACTGCTTAGGAGGTATTAACGCCAATTAGAGGGCGGTGGGAATTCATCCTGTGGGAGGTTTTCAACTGGATTTCTGCAGAAAATTTTCCATCTGCCTAAATAAAGTTATGTTTACATTAACAATGCTAATTTTGCTGGATGTATCAGGACATTTTTCTCATTTTCTCATGTTTTTTTCCACTGAGGCAGCTGTTAAATCTGGATAAAATCATATTGCTAGGGTGCCATCTTGTGGCAAGAACTGCACTCAGTTTAGTCACGCTAAATACCATTCAGTGTCTTGTCTTCTGTTTTTAATGTTTTCATCAGATAGAGTTTATTTTGTACCATTAATCTATTTAAATTATTATAGCACCATTGTGCTTGTTTACCTGCTTTTTAAGTTCTAAACTTTAAACTTCCCTTCACATCTGGTTGGTTTAATGGATCCACAAACATAGTTGCGAATAATTAGTAACATAAATTGTCTTTCTAGTTAAAATGTTACACACACAAGGCTTATGTTAATATTATTACTTCAATTCCACTAATGACACCCATGAAGCTATTTTATTAGACACAGAGACTATCAACAAAAGAGGAGGAGTTGTTTTTTTACAACCATGTGACATTCTGCTCGTATAAATGAAGCAAAAAAAAAAAAAAACGCCCTGAGGCAACATGCAGGTTTGATTTTCTCACACAGAGAAGTTTCCACAGAGCCGAATCCCTACCGTCCTGTTTGTTTAGGTGTGCGCTGATTAGAAGTTCTCATGCTGGGTACAGTGTATCTCTGCACGCAAAGGGTTTCAAACGTGACATGTCTTTTACTGTGACTGGAGCCTGGAAGCTCTCCGACTCCCTCCTTCCTCTGCATTTAATGGTGTTGTTATTCGAGCTTGCACTTTGCCATGCAGCCTCAATTAACACAGGTCATAACACCAAGCATGAATAAATGTTCTTCTGGGCGCTGTCAGTCCACCCAGATGGACGGGGCATTTTTGATAAACACTTTTATTCTTGCCGTTCATTAGCCGAGGGACAATTTAGAGGAAGCAGACCGACTGAATAACGATCTTTCAAAGGTCGTTTTTGTAATATTGAATAACATGCAACATCTGTTTTTCATGGCTTCTTCATTTACAGAAATAACACAAAGCTTCAGGATGGCTTTAATGTGCAGGTCTTTAATGAGCTGGTGTTGGGTGAGCACTTTCATGGGTGCTCGTGTGGATTAGCGTTTATGGGCCATGCCAGCAGTAATGACGGCTCCTCTCCCAGACAGTCTGTGACATTTTTTCTTCTGTTTCTTTTATAGGACTCGCTGAGGCCCTCGCCCAAGGCCTGTATCAGTCACCGCAGACGCACCCTGCTGACAGGGTCCCCCCCCCCTCCCCACCCTCCCAGCTTAAAAGTCCTAGGATTTGGCACTAAAAAGAGAAGATGCAGAACCTAACTGTGGGAATGACAGAAGGGATAAATCTGTCATGTGGCATGTCGGGGAATCACGAGATCATCTTCACCCTGGTGCCCGTCGTGTACAGCTGCAACTTTGTCATCGGCATCATCGGAAACAGCATGGTGGTGGCCGTCATCTACTGCTACATGAAGCTCAAAACGGTGGCCAACATTTTTGTTTTTAATCTTGCTGTGTCTGACCTCACTTTTCTCATCACTCTCCCAATGTGGGTGACATTCACTGCCACGGGGTATCATTGGCCCTTTGGGGGGTTTTTGTGTAAAACCAGTGCAGGACTGATCATTTTCAACCTCTACACCAGCATCTTTTTCCTCACAGCGCTCAGCATGGACCGTTACCTGGCCATTGTGCACCCGGTGCAATCACGGCGCTTTCGCACCGTGCTGTACGCACGCATCACTTGTGTGCTGATCTGGCTTTTCTCATTAATGCTCAGTGTGCCCACGGCCATGACCAGGGATGTCTACAACATCAAAGACTCTGAAAAAACTGTGTGTGGGATCCTGCACCCATCAAAAGAGCACGTGGAAAAGCTGAAACTTCTCCTTCTGGCTATCAACCTTATGAAAAGCCTGCTGGGTTTTCTGATACCGTTCATCATCATCATCACTTGTTACTGCCTGATTGGGCGAGCGCTCTTGAGGTCGAAGCACATCCAGAAGACGTCTCGTACCCGGGACGATGAGGTGCTGCGCATGCTTGCAGCAGCTGTCCTGGCCTTCTTCTTGTGCTGGGTGCCCCATCAGGTGTTCCACTTCATGCAGCTGCTCACTCAGCTCATACCTGGGAAGCACTGCACCCTCGTGGAAATCATCGACACCGCCATGCCCTTCACCATTTGCATCGCCTTCTTCAACAGCTGCGTCAACCCAATCGTGTACAGCTTTGTGGGGAACAGCTATCGCAAAAACTTGATGCGTCTTCTGCGCTGCTCCTCAAGTAGAGGCACGAGGGCTCACCCAAGCATCAGCTCCAAGATGAGCGCCCTCTCCTTCCGTGCCACTGAAGCACTGAGCCTTACAGTCAAAAGTAACACTTCCTGTGATGTTAAGTGACTAAAACTGAAACCAGGAAAGAAACCAGGTACAGTTTCTCCTTTTGGTTTTGGTCAGGAGGCTTGAAATGTAGACTTTCCACATATTTAAAACCCCAACAAGCACTGAAGCTTTTAGAATGGTAAACGTGTGGTATTCAGGGGGGCCTCTGTGAGACCAAAGGATGATCACGAACATGATATGTCTCATAACATGCTGTAAAATCTTGGGCTGTGATAAGTATGCCAATATCACTCCATCATAAAGGAAGACAATCTACCTGCTTGAAAAATATCCTGTAAAGATAAATGTTAATTATCCCATTATATATGTTGTAAAAGATGTTGTGCAGGATTTTGTCAGCATCGTGGGGTAATGTATTGTTCAGTTTTGTGTGCTCAGCAGTTCGTACCGGATTGAACAGTGATCAAGTACACCTCTGTTTTTTCCAGCAGTTGCATGAAAAGGAAACATAAAAACCTGTAACAGAGTGTTGTGTGCATTTACATCTGTAACATATCAGACTGCGATAACTAGTGCCTGTATTATATGTGGTATTTTCAAGTCGTTGTGAACATGTATATGTGTCTGGGAGTAAAAAATTAGGGCACATAAACTCCCCTATTGGTGATATTTGTCTATGTGGTATTTAAAAGTGTTGATATACTGTATTTTTTTACTTTGTAACTGTACGGTTTTTTTGAATATTAAAAAATACAAATAAAAGTTAAAAATATCAGCCATGAGTTGATTTATTATTGCCTTAAAAAGGAGCAAAGTATCCTTATTAGTTTTTACTAAAATATCTAACAGTAAGTAGCATTCCTTGAATGAAAGCATATCGCCAGCCGCTTTTCAAGCTGGAGTTTCAAATAAAGAATATTGTATCCTTGTGGTCAAAGACTTTAACAGGTTATCTATTTGATAAAATGTTAATTGTTGCGCTTTTAATAATTGATAACTTTACAACCATGACGATCATTATGATTGAGAGAAGCTCCCATAACTTATTTAAATACTTGTATTCAGTTGGTGCACAAATGGTTTTATTTATAAGCACACTGTTTAAAAAGGCAGCAATATTAGCGTAATATGTGTTGTAAATTTGATGCATTAAATACTTGATGAGCTGATGGAGAAACAGAGACTTTTCTTGCCCCAGTTCCACATGTTAAGCTTTTTCTTTAACGTTGGTAACATTTGAAAGATGCTACATGCCTGAATCTGTTCCCGAACACATCGCAGAAGTATGATTTCTCTCCTGTGTGGAGGTGCTGTTTTTTTAAAGCCAATAAAATAAAAAAAAATTAACTCACTTACTTGTCCAATTCAAAAGTTATTTCACATGCACATATTTATATTTGAGGATAGATTTATATTGCTCAACTGTGATCAGATACAACATGTTACAGAATGAGTTTGTTCAAACACACCACAAAAGTAGAAGCACTAGAGCGTGCACAACTCCACCAAGACCCTAGGGCCACTCATGTAGAAACAGCTTGTGCACAAACAGACAAGAATCCTTTAAAATAATTCCTTGGTCTGTATGGTGATCCAGATCACCGCCAAAATGTAATAATCTGTTCTTTGTTACAACCTCAACATTTTCTGAAAACGTTGTGAAAGTCCGTTCATAACTTTTTGAGTAATCTTGTACACAAACAGGTAGACAGACAGACAGACAGACAGACAGACAGTGATGTGTCCCTGTGTCAGTTATGTCAGGGAGTACCTAATTAATTCATTTGTTCTCTCTAGACAGGTGATTGGCTGGAAGAGGCTTAAAAGACTCTAGCTCTGCCTGCTGGACGAGTGAGGGAGGCCAGAGGAGAGACATGGATCTGATGATTGTTGGCTTCGCTGATCTTGGTGAGCTGATTTTTGTTGTGACTGGGAGTTACCAGCCATCATTGTCTTTACAGTTTTTGGTTATAGGGTTAGTCCTTGGACTTTAGGCGAGGGGAGCGGCCCAAATATGACGGTCAACTGCTGGCTGACTCAGGGCTTCTCCCTCTTTTTGTTTATTTTAGCCAGGGCTCCCAGTTTGCTGTTTTGTTCAGTGATTTGTGCTTAAAGTTTTGTTTAAATTACAATTGTCTGGGCTTCGTATGTCGTGCATCCTGCCATTTACTTGTAAACATATCAGGACTGGAACATATTTGGGGGCTCGTCCGGGATATGAACCTGGGATATCTCACAAAAATATTAACATATATAATTGACACAGGGACACATCACACAGACACAGAGAGACAGAGAGACAGACAGACAAACCAGTGCTACTGAAGACACAACCTCCTTAGTAGAGGTAATAATTCAAGTAACTGTTTGACTACAGCTTCATTTGTTTAGAAACTCTTAGCAACTAATTTAAACGTAACTTCTACCACCAGGAGGGCCAAGATAGAGTTACCAAACACTCAAATCTGTATAAAATATTTACAAGCTCAATATTTTAAGCTCCATGTGGAAAACCTAGTAAAGAAACTGAAAGTTAAACTAGGTTTCTTTTTCAGAAACAGATCTTGTTTAACTTTGAATGCTAGGAAACACCTTGTAACTGCGACTTTCCTTCCCTCCATTGATTACGGTGACATTATTTACATGAACGCTCCTACAAGCACCCTGCAGATGTTGGATGCTGTCTATCATGATGCATTAACATTCATAACTGGCTATGGTTATCGTACCCACCACTGCACCCTGTATTCACTGGTTAACTGGTTACCATTAACTTCACGCAGACTCTCTCACTGGTACATTTTCATATTTAAATCACTTCTTGGTCTGGTGCCTTCATACATCTCCTCCTACACGTCTCTGCGTGAGTGCAGCTACAGCGTGCGCTCTCAGGACATTATTACCTGCAGTGTTCCCTCATTGCGGACTGAACTTGGCAAAAGGGCTTCTCCTACTCCGCTCCTGTTTCCTGGAATATCTTACAAAAAGACCTGAAGCTCTCGACCTTGACCTCTCTAAGTGGCTTTAAAAATCTGTTGGACTCCTGGCAAGGACTAATGAAGACATGTTCTTGTTTTTAGTTTTCTACATTCGCCTTATAATCTAGCTGTTTTTGTTACTTATTTTGCCATCTTATTTGTAAAAAAAAAAAAAATCTGTATGCCTTCTTACATTTGTCTATTGTTGTCGCTGTTGTCCATTGTTGTCATCATTCTTTGTTGAAATCAGGTCTCTCTTGTAAATGAGTCCTCGAGGCTCAATGGGATTTACCTGTCTAAATAAAGGTTGAATGAATGAAAAAACAAATTAAAGCAACTTACCAACTTATTAACATTGTTTGTCTGTCAGCTTCAGATTTCTTCACTCCTCTGTCCAGGAGTCACCTCTGAAATAGTAAGTCTGGCTATGGACGTATCAATTAAAACATGATGAACAGAAAGAAAATGTACTTAAACACCAAGTAATTGAAAAATACTGTTGAGTCAAGTGTCTTGTTCCAAAATTTTTTACGTTAGCTTAAAAATGGTTTGCTAAAAAAAAAAAAAGAAAATGTGTAACCATTTAAGTCAGTTGTGCACCTCATGGTTTAATTTTTTTATTCTATTTATTATTTCGTTGTAAACTCACCAAATATTAAACTAAAAATTCACAAGTAAGCCGTGAAAATTGGGAGTTTTTTCTTCTAATGTTTATGTGAAAGTATCGTTGAAATCTTCTCGACTGGTTAAGAGTTCCTCAAACAGGTCTCAGAGAGAGTCAGAAGTTATAAAAAAAAATGCAGTGATTGTTGCACAAATGTGGAAACTAGTTCAAAAGTGACAGAAGAATATATGCAACTAAATATTATAATGATTAAAATTAACCTTGAAATTAGCATTTCTTGAAAGAATGTGTACTATTTTGCCTGGCAAACATCTTCTCCAAGAACTCAGACATGTTCAGTTTGGGCTAAAAGTATGTTAGAGATGACCCTTAGCTACTACTAGACTATATTTGTGCAATATATGTAGTACCGACTGAAATGTCAACTTTTTTTAGGTTGATTAGTTGTGACTGTCATCTTGAATCAGGTTAACCTGAAAAGCTAATTAGCATATGCATCCATCCAGTAACTTCTTTTTTTTTTTGAGTTTCATGAAAATTCACCCACTGGCTCATAACGTATTATGCCAATAGAGAGACAGACAGGGTTGACTTTAACAGTTAGTGCCAACGTTTTATACAAAGTTCTCATATGAACATGAAGTTCTCTGAGTCTGTGTTGGGGATCAGCCTCATCTACTACCATACTAAGTTTCAGCTTGTAAAACTGACTGAATTAAAGCTATTTTTGTTCATTCCAAGGTCACGTGCCTGTGGCGGCCATCTTGAATCGTGATGACAGCAAATGCTAATCAGTTGTAGATGCACATGTAAGGGTTTTATTAAATTTTCATTAGATAATTTGCAAACAACAAACAAATGAAAACATGCACAATGATATTACTTCAGATTAAAGATAATGTTGCTATGGAGAGTAACCTTGGTTGAAGTTTCCACAAACATCCATCAATCATTGACTTTTCATTGTGAAGGCTCATTTTCCTCCACGTGGCACAAAGAAAGGCACAGAAGAGGATTGGTGGATTAGAGAAAGGCTGTGCTTATAAGTGCTGCTCGCAGACAAGGTCAACTTTACTGCCAACATGAAGCTCCTATTGATTTTCGGACTGGTGGCGGTTGCTCTGGCTGATGTTACTCACTTTGAGGGGTAAATTTTTCATTTTATTAAAAAAGAGGGCTTATTTTGACAATCGTTGGTAATACTGAGACTATCAAAGTGACAGAAGTTTTTGCGCTGTACTATATGGCTTTGAAAAATTTTTTCCCCATTCTAAAACAAATTATATTGAATCTTTCCAAATATGTGGATAAGATGGAAGTTTGCATTCTTTTTAAATACTTCTCGTGCACTCTCAATATTGTAGGTTCAGCTCTGTTAAAAAAGTTCCGACACATTTTTTATTATTAGTTTAACTTAAAAAGAGAGAAAACGTTCCTGCAAGTTCTACACACACATCTTGAAAAATACAGGCTTTTCTAAAGGTTGTCAAAAAAAAAAAAATCTCTTTTTTCGTTTGGTCAATAGTCTAATCTGACTTGTACATAAGATTTTATTTAATTTAATAATTTGTTTGCTTTTCTGAGCCCTTATAAACACACAAAAACTCAAGGGATGAGCCATTGTTGTATCTGCACAACTTATAGATAAATCTTACCAAAAACCTACTTTTTAATTGGATCTTTTGGCCTGTTTTTTAGCAGCAAATATACAATTTGATAGCATGTCTTTAATCAGATCTGTGGAAAATGCTAAAAGTCTGCAAAGGTTTGGATGTATTTTAGGGTAAAAAGCATAAAATGAAATATTTTTGATGCAGTCCAAAAATGTGTTCATAATTAAATGAACTCACCAGGTAACTTGTAGTCAGAAGAGCATGTTTTGATGCTTTATTGTATTTATAACTTTTCTTTCTCTCTCTCTTTCTCTGCAGAGATAAAGTCTTGAGACTGAAGCCAAAGCTGAATGAACATGTGATCTTCATCAAGGAGCTGGCTAACAGCATTGACGTACTTATTTACCTTCATACTCGCCTAACAGTGTTACCTTCCCTGATTGAAGGGGTTTAGTGGGTTTTCTAATAGTGCAAGTGGTGACTTTTGACCTACTTTTATGAATTTAAGAAACTTGTTTAAGTTAATCTCATCTGGTGTCTTTCTTCTTTTGTTCTTTAAATCCATCCTTTATCATTATGGAAGCTTATTAAAGGGTTCACATCTTTGAATTTTCATTGGACTTTGGTGCCATCTGCAGGTCGACATGTGGAGCCCTGAGAGCGCTGAACAGGTGACCATCGACATCGATGTGGACATCCACATACCAGCCCAGTACCTTGACATAGTGTTCACCATGTTGGGGCAGAGCGACGTAGAGCATGAGTAAGTCCCAAATATTCAAAATAAAAGCTATTTTCATTTTTATTATTAAAATAATGACACTGTTTTCCAGGGTTCTTATTGAGGATGTTGAGGCTGTCATTAAAGGCCAGGCTGACAGTGGACGGACACCCAGAGCTCACAGTTACACGAAGTACAACACCTGGAGTGACGTAAGCGTGGAAGAACATCTATCCTCATTTCAGTCCTGAAAAGGTCCATCTCTAATGAATTAACATATTGATCAAGCTTTTTTATTATTTTTTTTAAGATCCAAAACTGGATCAACTCCATTTCCTCCTCCAACCCTAATCTGGTCAGCAAGCAGGTGATTGGAAACACGTATGAGGGTCGCCCTATGACTGTCCTGAAGGTAATTCAAGCTTTGATGCAAATATCAGTCCCACCTGTTCAGGAACTCTAGTTTTATTGAGCAAATCTATTTAAATACTAAAGCTTGGAAAGACATCCAGCTCTGCTAAACCTGCCATCTTCATGGACTGTGGTATCCATGCCAGGGAGTGGATCTCTCCTGCTTTCTGCCAGTGGTTTGTCAAAGAGGTAACAAAAAACTCCGCTTTATAAACACTTTTATTTAGCAACTTTTACTAATATTATTAGATTGATTTTCTTGTTTTCTCCATGCGACTCAGGCTCTGTCCACTTACGGCAGTGACTCTCAGATGACCAGTCTGCTCGACCAGATGGACGTCTATGTTCTGCCCGTCTTCAACATCGACGGCTACGTGTACACTCACACCAACGTATGTTACGGTCTATTAAAGCACGAGTTTGTGCGCACTGTTGATTTACAACGTGCATTTCGTTCTCTTGGCAACTTTAGAACAGGATGTGGAGGAAGACTCGTTCCACAAGATCTGGATCAAGTTGCTTTGGAGCCGACCCCAACAGGAACTTTGACGCTGGATGGTGCAGTAAGTAGAGTCTGAACGCAAACTCTTCAAATGTAGCCACTCTGCAACGTTGACATCTTTTATTAAATCTTGTGTTTGCTTTTCTTTTCTTTTGCCTTGCTGTCCACTAAGCTGGATTTTAAAAAGGAACTTTTAGGCATAATGCTGAATAAAGCCGATACAGCGTTTCTGATGTATCAAATCAGCATTATATGCTGATGATGGGGCGATATGGATGAGGGGTAAAAATGTATCTCATGTTGTTAACATTAGGAAAGCAATTAATCAAATAGAGAGATAATTTCTTTTGCGTTTTGGCTAGCTTTTTAGCGCTTTAATATTTTAGCTAACATTTTGCTTGTTTAGCTTATAGCTCGTGCTCTGCTTCTTTTAACTTTAACAACTCATCATAAAATGTCAGTCATTCTTACCGCCTTCGTAATATAAACGATCCTCTAAATTATCACGGCAGCCCTTGGAGCCTCCAGTAATCCCTGCAGCGACACCTTCTGTGGCTACTCTCCTGAGTCTGAGATTGAGGTGAAGAACGTGGCTGACTTCATCCGCAGGAACAAGTCCATCATGAAGGCCTACATCACCATGCACTCCTACTCTCAGCTGCTGCTCTTCCCTTACTCCTACAAATATGGGCTGGCTGCAGACCACAGTGAGCTGGTGAGTCGAAACTTCAATGTGGAACACACTTTTTAATCCAAGTAATCTTAGAGTAAGACAAACTCACATCAGAAAACTCATGCATGCCTGGGGAGAACATGTAAAGTCCACACAGAAAGGCTGGGAGGCAAACCTGCAACACTTTAAAATAGTTTGTTCTGGTAGTTTTCTAAATATTTTATATGCAATTCAGAAATGTGGGTATGCACTCAATGTAAACAAAACCTGTTTTCACCAAAAACTACAAATAAGCTTGAGTCATGTGAATGACTTAATGGCTATAATCTGGTCTGGCTATAATCTGTGTAGGTAATCAAACATGGTGAAGTTAGAAAGGCATGGAATCGAGAAGCAGTGCTGGAAAATTATGAGAAATGACAGCAAATTTCAGACTGAAATATTCTTGATTTTAGGCCAGTTTCTACTTAAATTGTTTTAAAACTTGATTGGTATACTTTAATCAACTAATATGAACCTAAATATAATAATAAATAATAATGTCATCACTGTATGTTTCCATACAATGACGAAATTAGTCTCTGCATTTAACCCATCCACCACCAGGTGGTGCAGTGGGCAGCTATTGAGGGCACCCAGGGGGCATTTTGGGGATGGGGTGTGCTGCCCAGAGACACCACGCGGTATGCAGTGACTAGGGATTGAACCTGGGACTTTCGGATCCCAAGCCGGCTGCCCTGCCTCTACACCATCTCGGTCCCCATAAATATGTACCCATATATAAAAACGGTTGAACTTTTCTGCACCTAACAGTACTTCCACTGGCATCACCAGTTTTCATGTACTTTGGCTGATTCCATGTAAACAAAAGCATATACTGTACTTGCCTCCGTAAACGTCGCACCGCCGTATAAGTCGCTTCAGTCCAAATATGTCTAATAAAGTGGAAAAAACATAAAGACATTGCTTCGCCATATAAGTCGCATCTATTAAGCGTCACCGCTGACGTGTCGTGTTTGTTACGCCTCACCACTGACAACCCAGAAACGTGTGCCGGTGCTGTGCCAAAAATCAATTGGCTGCCAAATGGTGGCCGCGGGAGCGTGCACAGGAGGACTTTAACAAGATTTTATTTTATTTTATTATTAATAGCCACTTTTACCTATTAATGAACCAATTGGCTTGCCATATTAGTCAAGGGCCCTCTAGCGGCTGAAAATGGTAGTGTTCAATATTTTCCATGTCTGAATAAATGAAATCGTCAGATCTCAGCCAAAAATTGGGTTATAAATATGGGGGGAAAACATAAATAAGTCGCTTCACTATATAAGTCTCAGGCATGCTAATATATGCAACAACAAAAAAACGCGACTTATACAGCAAAAAATATGGTAGTAAGGGGCAGCGGTTCACAAATTTGTAATTTAATGACATATAAGCCACCAATAAGAGAAAAACAACCTGTAGATTTTGGATATCTTGTGATTTTGATTTTATCGGACTTCACGACTTTGCACTGAGTACATTTAAGCTCGAAGTCTTCCGAGCCCCCTTATTGTGTGACTCTTATCTATAGGCCACTTTTAGCTGCTACAAATCATTGACTCACATGGCTCACATGCCATAGCTCTTTTACCTCTCACTGGGGTGTCCGGGGGGCTACACAGTTAACACTCACACCCCCTTGTACTCGAGGTTTTTGCACTAAACCGAGGCAGATCACACACCTCTGCCCTCTCTACGGCTCGCCTGGGATTTTAAGGCTCTCTGCAGACACTTTACAGAACAAAAGAACCGCAGGGATCCGACATAGCTCATACGTGACCTTAGAAAATTCATTTCCTGCCAGTGCATTTCTCTGGGGGTTTCATTTCCTCCTGCAATCTTCCCTGAAGCATTTTGTTGGATTTTTTGTTTTGTAATAATAATAAAAAATTGTTTGATCAAGTTCAACAGATGTTCGATGCAGAAGGGGAAAAAACGTGCAGACAGATAAACTTGTTGGTAACTTTCGTGTGAAAAGTGATTCAGTTTAATGGAGTTATGTGTATTTTTCTGCAATCCTGTTTGTACGACTTTAGATCCATGTTAAAGATAAAGGCTACAAAACCCTCTCCAAGCAGCTTCATGATTCTCTAACCACAACTGCCTGTTCTGTTAAAAAGTACAAAATTCATGGCTCTGTGGTCAAGCTCCCAGAACATGGACGCAAGAAAAAATGCAACCCCAACTTGCTTCGATGGTGCAAAAGATAGAAAATTACCAATGGAACCAACTAAAATCATTCAAGTTGAACTTCAAAGGTCTACTTATGTCATTTTCTGAGCACACCGTCTATCTCTTTGTGAATCATAATGGACTTTATGGTACAAGAGGAAGGTAAAAACAAAAACATCCACCAAAACACATATTAACAATCCCTGGACTTTCTGGGAGAAGTTTCTGGGACTGATGAGACAAAATTGGAGCTTTTTGACCAGTCTCATTCATTTTGTTGTTTTTAAAATATTAAAACAAATATATACATGTTTGTACATGTTTTAAAGACTTTTTTCTGTTTGTACACTAATTTTTTTTCTATTTTCTCCATTATTAGATGCAAAATTTATGCTGACTGACCTAGAACTATGTTTTGTTACTGACACTACAGTAGTCCCTTGTTTATCACGGGGGTTACGTTCCAGACCACAAACCCCCGCAATAAGTGAAAAACTGCGAAGTAGGAATGTTATATTTATTTTAGCATTTATATATCCCTCTTGTAAATGAGTCTCCCTGGCTCAATGAGACTAGCCTGTATAAATAAAGGTTGAATCAAAAAATAGATTTTAAGGCTTTAGAAACCCTTCCCACACTCTTGCAATGTTCTAAACTCTTAAACCTACGCACTTTTAACGACATACATATATGTACTGCACAGTACTACAAAATTTTACTCACCAGCTCTGCAGAACACAGGAGCTCAGTTCCAGTCTGGCTCGTTTCCAGTTCGGCAGATCTATCCTGCAGTGACAAAGCCCACAATGTTCTAAACTCTTAAACCTACATAATTTTAACAACATGCATATATATATATATATACTGCACAGAAGCTACGTACTGCAAACAAAACCACACAATGGTCCCGATAAAGTCCAAATCCAGATGAAAAAAGTCCCGGTGAGCACCGGAGAAAACACCAAAACTCCAAGTGACGCCTCCCCACTCGAGAGAAGCCCTGGGTGGGAAAGCAGCACTCACATTGACCGATGATACTGGAAGTCCAGTTCTGGTCCAGTTCCCAGTCAGCTCTGTACGGCTCTCTGCATCCACTGGGCACCGAAGTCACTATGAATATGGATCGAACTTTTTCAGATCGGATGAAAACTTTCCCTCCGTTTCAGCAGAAAGCAACGGCTGGAAGCACTGTTGGCTTCTGGGTAATGTAGTCCTTTTGGCTGGCGATACAGTATAGGCTTGTTGAGAGAAAACTACAAAATGGTGACGCCTGTCCGAAGCTTTTTTTGGTTAACTTTTTACTGTATCCCCTACTGTCCTAATCACGTGAGTAATATTAAAGTTGGCAATTGTGCGTCGTGTACAATCTTACTTTGAAAAACCTCAAAAAAGCCCGTCCGCAAAAGTCGAAACGTGAAGTAGCGAGGGACTACTGTATTTAGATTTCCCCCAAATTAGCCTAAAACATTTTAATTTTCTGTTTCCTCCATGTATTGAAGCTGGAGGTTGCTGAGGGAGCGAGTTCTGCTCTGCGGAGTCTGTATGGCACTCCCTACACCAGTGGACCTGGAGCTACTACTATCTGTGAGTAAAGCAAATATTGCATCTCTGTTGGTCCTTGGATAACAATGGTGTGTTTGACAGTCTATTTGCGCTTGATGTGTTTGTGATGCACAGATCTCCTCTACGATTTCAAACCCTCTAGATACAGAACTAAAGATGATCAATCAAGGCAGTGGATGTGTAAAAAAGACTGCCCTGCTGCTCTGAATGACCCTCCCTCTCTGCTCTTTTGCCCTCAGACCCTGCTGCAGGAGGCTCTGATGACTGGGCCTACGACCTGGGGGTGAAATATTCCTACACCTTTGAGTTGCGTGACACCGGTCGTTACGGCTTCCTGCTGCCCGAGTCCCAGATCAAACCCACATGCGAGGAGACTATGCTTGCCGTCAAGTACATCACCGCCTACGTGCAGAAGAACCTCTATTAGGGAGCAGCCAAGACCCCTGCCTCTGCACCAGCCCCCAGCCTTTCCAGCCATCCTCTGCCCGTAACCATGGATACGAGCGCCTCCCGCCATGTTTTCTCACTGCGTTTGACAGAATGTCAAAATGAGTGCAAACAATAAAATCAATGATCCATCCCCACATGCTGAATCTGTTTTTATGTGCATGTCATGATATTATGTTTGATACACAAAGCTCTCTAACAAAGACAACAACAATGTTGTTAGACCTGTTGTTAAAATGCCAGAGAAATTTAGGAAAAGCTACATTTTATTTCTTCTCGTCTGTATTAAAGCATGATGGTACCGGCTCCATTCCAGAAGAGGAAGGTTTTAGATGTGTGTGTGCGTGCTTTGTCTGATTTGTCTTTGAGGATTTCAGCAGTATGCATCAACCACAGAGCTCTCCTCGGCAGCGTCTTCTCTGCCAAGCATTTGTGTGGTGATAAAAGAGCCACGATCGGCGGGAGACGTAACTCCGATGGCACGAAAAAATTAAGGTGCAAAATGTAGTTTTTGAGATATTCAGTAAACCTTTGTGGGTTCATTTTTATTGTAGTTTCATCGTGTCTTGGCAGCAGAGCAGCCGAATTAAAACGCATATTAATTTGAAAACACTCAGAATAAATTACCTCTGCTTCCTTTACCTTGGAAGGCTTTAAAAGTTCTGATATAACACTTGATCCCTAAAAAGACCTCTAAAACCGAAAGGCCTTGAAAGAATGCGTACCATCCGCCGCCAGAGCTGTAAACTAATATAATGTCATACTTTAGCAATGATGAAATTGTTGGTTAAACCATTAAAATTATGTTTAAAATGCAACATCATGCTCAGATTATGTGTTGTGAATGACTCCCAGCTACTACTACATCCAGTTTTAGCTCAGTATCTTTTAAATGTACCTATCTATGGCCAGTTTGCCGAATGTTTACTAGTTCTGGCAGCCATCTTGAACAGAATTGACTCCAAAAATTAATTAGTTGTAGATTGTTGATTTCTTTCTGAAAGTTAATTTGAATCAATCGGAGAGGTGTAACTTCAACATTCAAAACAACGGTTTAAAGCAAAGATCTCACACAATAGATAGTACTCAAGAGTATCTGTTGTGAGTAACTCTCAGTTACAACAACACCAAATTTTAGTGCAGTATCTGTAAAAGTATAGTGTTTTGTTAATTATCTAAAATGGCCATCTTGTGTTGGGTTGGCTCCAAAGTGAATCAGTGGATTATGGATTATTTCTTGAAAGTTTCATTAAAGTCCAGTGGTTTATGAGATATTTTGCTAACAGCCAGAAATAGTTTACTCTACGACAAAATGAAAGACATTGTTCAGACTGTTAGAGCTCACAGAATTGTTGATCAGTCTCAGCTACTACCACACCACATTTTAGTAAAACTGTAAAACTTGAAACTAGTTGTCTGTGGCAGCCATTTTTAATTGGGCTGACTCCAAAAAGGTATAATTGTACATTTATATCTAATGATTACTTTCTGCTAGTTTCATTAAAATTAGTCTTGTGATATAATATATTTAGCTAACAGACAATCACGCGCAAAAAAAAAAAACGGCACTATTCTTTTGTCCTCTAAAGTGACATGACGTCTAGTGGCCAATAGATGGCGCCAAAGACTATTTCTTTTAGCAGAACACATTAATTCCCGGGTCTTTTGCGTTAATAAAAATGGCACTGATTAAGAAAGTTGTTTACCTGAAGGATGTCCATAAATAAAAAGTCAGCTGTGTGTTTATATATCTTCATGCTGGTTTTATATAAATGACTGCACATCAGGCAGGTTGCGTGATCATATTGGGAGCAGGTGGGTGTGTGGGAGAGCTCCGTCACGTGACCTGGCTGTCACAGCGGTATAAATTCACCTCTGAGTGTTTGGTCAGCTCTTTTCCCCTCACAGCCGCCGTCTACAGGTCCGGGCTACACACCGAGTAGCTTCGACTTCTCCTTCAGCCATGGCAGGTATGAAACGTTTGAGCTGTGAGCGCGAGACGCTGCTGTGACGCGCATGCAAACTTAAAAAAGAAAAAAAAAAAAAAAGGGGCTCGCGAAGTTTTGCGGCGAACTTAATGGTTTTTGTTTGAAGTCGCTGGTGTTTAATTTGTTGTCGGGTTTGTTTCTAATGAGAGCGGCCATGTTTTCCCAGGTATTTATATCTTGTCCATATTTTTTTTATTATATTACTGTTTATCCAATGACGCAAGTGTTGCTATAAATGACCAAATGGAATGTAAAACCTTTTAACTGTATTCCTTTAGTGAACAATTAAAGTACTTCCGGGGTAGTTTTGACCCTTTTTTTGGGTGTCTTTGGGTTTTAGTTTGAGAACTTTCCTTACCTCCAAAGTGCTCACTTCAGATAAGCTTTCTGGAAGTTGTCAAGTCAGGATGAAAGGCCTGTTCAGCCTGGGGTCTGCTCAAATCTGAGCTTATTCCATCCAAGTCTTTTTCCAATTAAACTAAATACTGGTTGAACCAATGGAAGAAAGGGGTGTGGAGCCAGAACTTCTCCTGGCACGCTCTGGTAATGGGGACCATTTGTTTTCGAACTGGTCCACTTCAATTTATTTTTCTGGACTCAAAAGTCTGTATCCTACTCCTGGTTTTACTTTCATTGATGTATTCTCATCTATCAGAGAGGTTAAAGTTCATCCTGGACCTCATGCTGCATTCTTGCACATCCCAGCTGATCTAATCATCCCAGTTTGTTTCATCTCACTGGTGAATTGTTCGTTGTGGCTTAACAGGAACCTCAGATATACTGGAACTTGTGGTACTGGCCTTTTAAGTGTTTTGAATATTTTTCATGCTAGACTCTGTTTTAATTGTGTTGAGGGGAAAATATGTTTTTAATAATCTGCTGAAATTTGGATTGAGCAATGACAAAGTTCTGATTTGCTGATCTTTCAGATCAGGCCTTTGTGACGTTGGCTACCACCGACAGTTACGCTCGGGGTGCAATGGTTCTGGGCAAGTCCCTTCGTAACAACGATACTTCTAAGAAGATGGTGGTACTCATTGGCCCAAATGTGTCGGAGCCTTGCCAGTAAGTAAAAATAGTTGTGCTGCTATTCCACGTTAATTTTACCTGTAATTTTATTTTTTTTATTGTGCATTATTAGGTCTGCACTGAGGAGGATCTACGATGATGTGATGGTGGTGAATGTGCTGGACAGCGGTGACACAGCGCACTTGGCCCTGCTGCAGAGGCCTGAACTGGGTGTCACGTTGACAAAGCTCCACTGCTGGACGCTCACACAGTTCTCGAAGTGTGTGTTCATGGATGCCGACACTCTGGTGAGACTCCGCGCGGTGGCGTTTTAACAAAAGCTCCAAAGAGCCGTTTATAATATTGCATAAAACCATGTTTGCTTGTTTGGATCTGCATCCTAGGTGCTCTCCAACATAGACGAGCTGTTTGACAGAGAGGAACTGTCGGCCGCTCCTGACCCCGGCTGGCCTGACTGCTTCAACTCTGGCGTGTTTGTTTTTCGGCCCTCTGTGGACACTTATGACAAACTGCTTCAGTATTGCACAGAAAAGGGCAGCTTTGACGGTAAGATAAGAACTTTTTTTTTTTTTTCCTGTTTATTTTGGATGCAGCAACAATTCATGTTGACCTCAGACACTTTTACTGCTCCAATAATTGCTTTAAACCCAAGTGTTCAAAAAGTACTCGTGAATAACCTGGTTATCTTTAGCTCAAAGTAAGGTCTGCATCATGCCCAGTTCTTGGACACAAGGCTCTCCTGTCCAACTTTCTACCCTCCTGAGCAAGTCTCAAAGGGGCTCAGTGGGACAGGGTGGGGGGTGTTTGAAGCCTTGCTTGTTTAGAGCACTGGCTGACATTCAGGCACTTTGTGTAGTGACTGAATTGTAGTTTTTGGCTACAGGTTTGAGCTCGGTGGCCTTTTTGTAAGCCAACACCTGATGCTACATTAAAAAAAAAAGTTACAAAATGTCTCTTGTTCCAGCTTTGAATATTTTAAAAAAAGCTGTTAAGTGTAGTCAGTGGTGCTGTTATGGAATAAATATGCATTTTATAGTTTTGAGGATCTTTTTTTGGGGGGGGAGGCTTTTGTTGAGGAAAACGAGTGGCCTGTTTCTGATGCTGTGACAGATTCCAGCAGGGGCTATTCTTTAGAAAATCCCAATTAGTTTGCTTTAAATAGGGCAAAACTTCAAAGCGCCGCCTCGTTTTGGCTGCAACGTGTTTGGAAGGCCACTTGCTCAAACAATGAACATAATTTTTCTTCAGCCGTCTTAATTAAAACTTTTATATTTAATGGGCTTTTCAGTATTTCAATGGTGCTGGCATCTGTACTGTATATGCACTGGCATGTGTATTTATAGCCATGGAAGTTCTTCTCACGTGCACTAAGGAATGAGTTGCAGTTGCTTTGACCCCTCACATTTCACCTCTATAATGGCTCATGTAAAGCAGATCTGCAGAGATGTATGGAAGAAAAGAAGCTGCTATGAAAATGATAAAGGCTGCACCCCGAGGCTGCATCTGTGGTTTTCGTGCCAAGATAAACTGGCAGAGGTGGATGCACATTCTTGCTGAGCTCTGCTCATCCCCTCAAAATGAAGATCCTCAGTCCTATATTAAGTTGTGAAATGCTCAGTGGAGTCTGTTCAGACTGCTGTGTGCTAGATTTAAACTGAGACGCTGGTTTGGACTCGTAGTTGTGCATTTTTCTAAGTCTGCTTGACCCCAAATGTGTGAATCAGATCAAGCAACTTGGCTTAAGATTTGTATTTCCATTCTGGTCTCAAATCAGCACTTGAACTGGCCTGCTTGTAATCGAATGTACTGGTACCCCCGCTAACTGAGTCTTGTTTATGCAACTTGTTGCCATGAGAGGTTGTCTTGGTTTTAGATCGACCAACAGTTCATTAGTTGGACCGCTAGGACCCGAGCTAGTGCAAACTTTAAAATGAGCATTCATCCAGAGGGCAATGTTTATCAGCAGAGAGGAAACTTAAATGCTCGTGTCTGCTCTTATTAATTCAAGCCGAGCGCTCCTGAACAGGGTTGAGTATTGTTGGAAGGCTTTTGAAATTGGTGCACAATTTTATTTTATTTGGGCTTCTAAAAAAAACTACCTGCAGCACTTGACAAATGAAAGTAATTTCAGATGCACACAGCTGTCAGTCATTGATAACAGATTGTGTGGGAACCTTGGCGCATGCCTTCAGCTCCGACTACTGAAGGGGAAAGACGAATCAGGATTCACAGGTGTTCCTCATCTGACTGCAGCCATTCAATCACAAAACGGGACTATCTTTTTGGCGACATTGCATTGTTTCTGACTGAAATGAATCAGAAGCTTGGAACTCCTAATGCAGCTTTCAGTGATCCTCAAAGCTTTTTATTCTTTCGCCAAACTTGACTAAAATTTCAGAATGTTTAGCCACACGGCTCATCTTTTTTACAAGTTAAAGCTTCTGAAAGCTTCAAAGTATTGCTGCTTTTGAAGAACATCGATGGCGGGGTGGTTCAAGAGTTGCACAGTACTTGAGGTTCCCATAAAACGGCTCGGGTTGCAATTGTGGCACAACCCTCACCCCTCTGCCTGTGGTGTGATCCACTACTTTCTCTGCTAAAGCCCTTGGCAGAGTTTCACTTCAACTCAGAATTTGTTTAAGCCTAGATTGCAGGACTTGTATTTATCCTGTCATGTCTAAAAATTGTACCCATTTGTTGACACCTATTGTGAAATAAGTTAGACGTTTGGATTTGTAAAGACTTGCCTACATGCGTTTTTTTTTTTTTTTTTTTTTCCCCCAAATGTCCCGTCTAATAAAACCCTTAATGGTCGTGTTTTCTTATCCACAGGAGGAGACCAAGGTGTTTTGAACGGCTTCTTCAGCAACTGGGCAACAGCTGACATATCAAAACATCTCCCTTTCATTTACAACCTCAGCAGCATAGCCATCTACACTTACCTTCCAGCGTTCAAGCAGTACGTGTCCATTCAAGTCATGTCTTAAAGCCACGTGGGAACTTCAAAATTTAAGCGTTTACCTTCAGAATTGCAATATTTACATCTGCAAAACAATAGTTGCAACACAATCTGTCATGACTTAACGGGATGTGCGCTCTATGAAGAGCCAAGATGTAAGCGGAGACCTGATCACATGAACGTGTAGTCACATTGTGACATGACCTCGAGTAGCGAGCGGTAAGATTCCAGCCACTCAGCTGGGGCGTCACACTCCCAACAGCTGATGCCACTCCTGAAATAGATCACTTTTATTTAGACCTCTTTATGTTTCCGTCCTGGGCTGATCATTGTGTAGCCTGAAGCCCTCCCTTCTATATTCCCTGCTTCTGTCTGTGCCTCGGCAGAGAAACGAGAAGCATTACTTGGCTCCTAGGAAGGTTTTGGCATTTCCTGGCATCCAAGCACACATCACTAGGTTGTACATGTTGTTGTTTGTGGCTGTCGGCAATGGTGCTTAGGTCTGGCAAAGGAAACGAACCCCCGTAGGGCCAGATTCTGACTTTTATTTGTTTTTTACATGGCAGGATGCCAGCCAAACTGCAATATCTGAGGTATGCTTTAAAACTAGTGTATCTGATCCAATATTTTTAGACTTCAAAAGGCAATTTCATCCATATTGAGTTCAATGGGCGCTTTGTCCAAGCTCTTGGAAATTGTAGCTTTAAGCAAAACCTTTTTTTATGTTTCCAGTTCCTTTTTGTTTGTCTTTTCTTTTTAAATGTTAACTTTAACAAAGCAGTGGGGTCAATATGGAAATATTTGCAATATTCTAAAATGCTTATACTCGAGCAAATATCACTACTTTGAAAATGTTAAGGACAAAATGGCATGTGGCTGTATGGATCTTAATGTTGTGCAGTACTTTGGTTGGCTACAAATGTTTGGTCAAATTCTTTCTCTTCAGGTTTGGTAGCGGTGCAAAGGTGGTGCATTTCCTTGGTCAAACCAAGCCCTGGAGCTACACGTTTGACCCCCACACAAAACAGATTTCAGGAGGTGTGCAAGATGCCCCCACACATCCAGCCTTCCTCCTGGACTGGTGGACCCTGTATGCCAGCACTGTGGTGCCAGTGCTGCAGGAACAATATGGAGACGAGCCTTTTGTCTCTGGATGTTTGGAGGTGAATTAAAATCAGTTGGCTTATTTACACATTCTTGAATTTAAATCTCTTTTCCCATCAGTTGAACAGCTCAGCTTGGATGATTCAAAAAGGTGGAAGGGTATCTTCTTGCTGCTGTACATTTTATAATTGTTTTTATTGTACTAGCTTAAAGTTCTAGTGCTTTTAACCAGAGCCTTTTCATATGATAGCAGCTTTTATTATGCAAATTGTGGCACATCTTGTAATTTTTTTTCTGCTTCAATTTCTGTCTTCCTGTTCATATCAAAGTCCCAGGAAAGTGACCCAACAGTCACTACTGAGACTGTACAGGTATGGAGATGATTGGGTTTGTGTGTTTGCACTTGGTTTACTACACTACGCCTTAACTGGTTTGCCTGTGGCTAATACAGAAAGGGTTCACGGTGTTATTGCTTAAATTTACATTAAAAAAAAAAAATAAAAATTGTCCCCACCCCAATCTATTTAATGCGGTGTGAACAGTCAGGTTACCCATTTTTACTGTTTAACTTTGTCTTCAGGAGGAAAGCAGCACGTCTCATGCATCCGTAGAACCCGAGATGTCTTCTGAACAACGGAAGGAGCAATGGGAGCAAGGTCAGGCCGACTACATGGGAATGGACTCGTTTGACAACATCAAGAGAAAGCTCGACACTTTCCTCAAATGAACCGGGATGGAGTCGGAAAATAAAAAGCACTTGCAGTCTAACAAATGGTCACGTGTTTCTTCAAAGTTGATTGGTCTCTAGTCATTTTTCCCAAGAGCCAATCTGCCATCAGCATAACTCTTCCATTCTGTGAAAACTATGCAATAACAAAATGACACTTAAAAATCTCTCGTAGCTGCTCATTTAGTTTGCCTTGCTTCTCTAAGAAAATGGCAAGTTTACATTATTTTCCAGGGTTGTTACGATCTTTGCTTGTATTGTGTTAATGTTGGTGCTCTCTTTGGAACTACATTTTTGCAGTCACTTGTGTACTTTTTTTTTTTTTTTTTTTTTCTGAACTTTGCTTTTTTGTTTTCAAGTTTGTTTACAGTACTGTTAAAGGACTCTGTTAGTCAAATGAGCTCTAGTGCCTTAAAGAGTTGTACTTTGTGCTGCTATACCATCCTGTTCCAGTCGGCTGCTTTCCTGCACGTGACTTGGGTTGAATTGTATTGCATTTTAATTCCATGTGGAAATAAAAATTACACAAGGTTTTCATTTTTTGTTCCTTTAAACTGTGGAAGATCTTAAAATTGGGTGCTTTCATGAGCTTGCAAGTGATGGAGCAAGAATTTTTTTTTTTTTTTCGTTATAATTTTAAAGCAGTTGAGTAAAAATGTCTCAAACAATGGAGCATTGACCTACTTGAGTTGATCACAACTTTTCACAATTTTTCTCCCATGTGTCGGTGACAAAATGAGCAAATTTCAATATCGATACTCTCTGCAGCATTTTCATCAACACATGTTCCATTAAGTGTTCTGGCATGCTCATTACATAAAGAACAGTGTGTGTGTGTAATATGACCAAAGAACCAGAGTGGTTTTTTTTTTTGGTTAAAAATTGTAGGAGAACCCAAAGCTATCTTAAACTTCCATGCTAACTGTTTTTTTTGTATGTAAAGGGTGGAAATAACTTTTAAAATACTGAAATGCCAGATTGTCCAACTATTTGGAATAAATGTTTTTATTTACCTTTTCAATTTATTGGAGCATGAAATGATAAAAAAAATCCCACCTTATCCAGTTCTGCCGGTATGTAATTTCCACTGGTGTCCTACTGAGATGCAGTAGTTTAATAGTTTTAATTTTCCCCCAACCCCACCCCAAAGATTTAGTCAAAACTCAGCAGTAATTGCTTTTTATTTACTTGGCAATGAGGTTAACGAATACAAATTATAAAAGGGGATACTACAGAAGAAATGAAAATTAAACTTAAAAAAATAAATTTAAATCGAACTATTACATAAGTTCTAAAAATATTCTGATATCCTTTTGCACTTTTAGGTAAACTGGGCGTCTAAAACAAGATGATTCCGTTCCAGCTACTTCCGGTTTCGCTGCACCCCGTTAAAATCATGATTAACGTTCCTGTTCTGCAGAACAGTCGAAATAAAGTCAAAGCAAATAAATTTAATATTTCCGCTTAAGTTGACATTTAACAAATCTCTTTTTTCTTTTTGACAAAAGTGTGTAAAAACGTGCGAATTAGACACTTGGAAAACTACGTTTAATATGACAGTGTTTCCGGAAGTGGAGGGCGTGTCGTGAGCGCGCGTCGGTGGATGATGCTGTCCGTTCTGTTCCGAAAGTAAACACACTTCTTCGTCCACCAAGATGGCTCCGCAGTCAATGTTCCAAACGGCACTTCTGGTGTCATTCTCGGTTTTCCTCACCGTCGTATTGGGTTTTGGACTTCCGGCTCTTCTGAACGCGCTCATGAGGCTGCTGGGTCTACCGGAAACGAGTGTAACGGAATGTATTGTTGTCATGTATGCTGTTTTTGTGCTGTACGTTGCGACTCCTCGACTTCCCAGAGGTCTGGTGGAGGTAAGAGAAATTAGTATTAAGTAGCCAGCACACATTTTTCTGGGACACAAAAAAAAGTAGCAGTCTAATATGTCAAAAAGTCTTTTAAGTTGCAGACAAAGCTGTTGATGTTGATGCACTTTGCTCCTCTGTTTAGGTGAAAGGTAAAGCTGTGCTCATTACAGGCTGTGACTGTGGATTTGGTTTTGCACTTGCCAAACATCTGCACTCGCTTGGCTTCACAGTTTTTGCTGGATGTCTCTTAAAGGTAACAATCCTAAATCTGATAAATAATCATGCACCGTTGCAGAAACGTGATTTTTATTCAGCTGACCTCAAAGCATCAGTCACATTTAGCTTTTTTTTAGTGGCATTGAATAATAGTTTAAAATGTCAGTGATCTCCCTCCCACAGGACAAAGATGGAGACGGCGCGAAGGCGCTTGAAGAGTTGCATTCGGATCGCATGAAGGTGGTGCAGCTGGATGTCTGCAGCGACGAGGAGGTGAACAGGGCCGTCGAGTACGTCAAAGACAATCTGCAGGACTCGCAAAGAGGTAACTGACCAGTTTAATGCACTGGTTTTAAAATAGCATGTCCGCTCACGGAGCTCTCTGACTCAGGTCTGTGGGGCGTTGTGAACAACGCCGGCGTCTCCACGTTCGGAGAGGTAGAATTCACCTCCATGGATACCTACAAACACGTGTCGGAGGTCAACCTCTGGGGCACCATCAGGGTCACCAAGGCTGTTCTTCCCTTAATACGCAGGGCAAAAGGTAAACCGGTGAAAAATATCACTTATTTATTAACACTCCCAGTTATATAATCGCAACTTTGCATTCTTTCCGAAACGACAGGTTCAAAGTGCAAAAATCCTCCCAAGCACCTTAGGGTCTCAGGTTTTTTTTTTTAGTAAGCCATTATAACACTGTCAGGATTCCTGTTTGAACGTCTATTAATGCCTTAATAATTAGGTATTTGTTTTTCTCGAAAACTACTTAAATATTCTTTAACGATGAAGAAAAGTTAGAAACAAGCAAATCCGTAAATCAAGTCAAACTTTCTGTTTCAGGGCAGATTTAAAAAATCTCTTTAAACGTTCACTTTCAGCTGATTGGACGAGGATTGTTTGGCTCCTCCCCCGCAGCCTGTTCACCAATAAGACTGTTTTGGACTCTCTCCTCCCCCTTTTGATTGCTCCTCCCCTCACTGTCAAAACAAACAAAATAAAGGTTGAATGAAAAATAATTAGATAGTGCAGGTTTATGTTAATTATTTTATTTAAAGATGACTTAACTGTTTACCTTTCCTATAATGTGAAATGAAATGTTCAACAGTGAGACACTTTAAGAGGATCAAACATGTCTCCAATCACTAATTCATGTCTTCCTCAAGAAGGCATGTAAGTTGAAACCCATTGGAGTGCTTTGTACTGGTCTAGAAAGCTCTGCCATATTAAATACACATTTAAAGGAGAGATTAAAGTCTTTTCATATTTAACTTTACAAAGAGTATCTCAGCTGGAGCAGGAAGTGCTCCTGTGCAGAACTGTGTGTTCTCTAATAGCACTTAGAATACGTACGCTTTTATTACAGAGAGGTCATTTATGTGCACACAGAAGTGTAGGAGCTGCAAAACGTCTATATTAGATTGTACAAGAAGCAAATAAAAGCGTTAAAACCTAATGTTATAACAGAATGCGAATGTATTTCTGGTGTCCCTGTGCGTGCAGGTCGAGTTGTGAACCTGGCCAGCATGTATGGAAGGATGGGCAACATAATGCGGTCTCCGTATTGTATATCTAAATATGGCGTGGAAGCTTTTTCGGACTGCCTGCGCTACGAGATGAAGACCTGGGGAGTGAAAGTGTCTGTGATCGAGCCCGGGAACTTCATCGTGGCCACCGGCATCCTCACCCGCGACATTGTGGCCACTACGGCAAACAAGCTGTGGAGCGAGGCGCCGGAGGAGGTGAAGGAGGATTATGGGAAAAGCCACTTCGAGCAGCACATGGCTCTGATGCGCTCGTACTGCAACAGCGGAGAGAAGGATGTAGCCTCAGTCCTGGATGACATCACGGACGCCGTTGTGTCGAAGCGGCCGTACACGAGGTACAGCCCCATGGAGCCGCACTGGTGGATCAGAGTGCAGGCGATGACCCACCTGCCTGGTGCCGTATCTGACCTGCTCTACTTCTAAAAGAACATTTCTGTGCTCTTCGTTTCATCTCAGATCAGTTAGAAGCAGATTTGATGACACTAAGCAGATTTACAAAAACTAACCCAACGCTGGGGCTCTGATATTTATTTTTCAGCTTTTAAAATCTCTCACTGGTCAATCCCTGAAGTGGCGAATCAGATCCTTTTAATGTAAGGCTCTGTGGAAAGTTATGAATGGTTAATATCTTACCTGTTGCAGATAGTTTCAGTTGGGGATCTTGATAAGTTAAAGGCCAGGACCAAGTTGGATTGTTTTCATTTTTAAAACAACTCCAAGGTTGCAGTTGCAGCTAGCTGTAGCATATATGGTGTCACCAAGGGTACACATGACAGGAGTATAATTTTCTCAAGAATAACTAAGTTGAAATTTGTGGTGGGGCAAAAGGTTTTAATATTTGCACGAATCGCTTATTTTGAAATGGAATTTTGGAGTTGGCCTCACTCGGACTAGCCTTTAGCTCAACAAGCTTGTCCAAGTTAAACTATTTTTCGACACCATTAAGAGCCATCTACAACAGGTAGGATAGTAATTGTTCACGACCTTGCCACAGAACCCTGAAAATCATAACTATATTCACTTTTTAAATAAGTAGTTACCATTTTTATTTGGTATAAAACAGTTATGGCTCACTCGTAGCTATAAGTAACACATACGCATCGCTTGCTGTGGCATTATCTCTTTATTTCGCTCTTACTTTGTGGTATTTTACGTTATCCGAGTCATCCAGAGGCCCAGCGATCAAAGCTGAACACCTCCTGCTGTTCTGCTGTAGCTCACACCGGAACAAACAGAGGTCAGCTGTGGTGAGTTTTTAGCCAGACTTGCCATAAAGTTGCATAAGAGCAACAACACAAGCTTGCTTTTGTGTCTCACATGCTCCAAGAAACCCAGCATGCTGTCATAACTGAAGGGATTAGGAAAATATTAACACTACCCCTACCTTTTGGAACAGAGTATTTTATATTATATTGAATTATGCAAAATAATAGAGCAATTTATTTACAAAATTCTATAGTCATGTTTTTAACTGACTCTAAATAAAGTGACTAAAAATGTTTAATGTGTCTTTAATGTGCCTTAAAATGCAACTTTATAAACGGCCACCAGAGGGCGCACATGCATCATATAGAAAATACCCATGAACATAATGGTTGTTTTAACTCTTTTTACATTTACACAAGTTTAGAAAAATAAAAGCACCAACATTTAACAGTTCACACCAAAAACTCTCAAGCATTCAGATCTTTTTATGTTTTTATTTCAGCTTTTCCAACACTCTAAAACATCTAAATGAGAACACCTGAAGACAATCTCCCCTCCATATAAAAACAGTATTAAGAACAAGACCGGAACATTTTCACAGCACTGCCTTTTGTCATTCCACAGCTTGAATGTTGTCTTTACTCTCTCAAACAGAAAAAAAAAAAAAAAAAAAAAACAAGCTTTAAGACAAAGAACACCACAAAGCACCAGATTTAGAACATGGGCCACTTGTTCCTAATATCAAGACATTTAAGTGTAAATTCAAGATTTTCTCAGGCTTGTTCAGCAGACAAGGCGCTGCTGCGCTGCAGTTTTCCACCACTACGAATAGTTTGATAAACAATCTTGAGATCATTCACAACTGACGTCTACTTTTAAATAGATTTGAAACCATTTCTGTATTTCTGTACAGCTTCAAGGCTCTGCTCATGCAGTATTTTCTGTAGCATGAAAACAATCTTAAAATGTCTGCAGGGAGATAATGTAGTTCTGTTTGACCATCAAGTAAAATAACCATTTTTATTTATATTTAAATAGCTAAACTGCACAAGTCTTAGACGTAAAATCCTTAGAATCCTAAAGTTTCCTAACATATTGTTACTTGAGGTGCTCATACATGAGATTTGGAGTTATGTTTCTGATAACACTGGCACATTTGCTTAAAATGTACACGCAGGCATTCATTGTTCATCCAAGAAGTTATGCTCGACGTCAGCTGTGATAAGGTCACTTGAAACAAAACGCAACAAGAACTTAAAAAGGGCATTTTATGCATGACTGAGAGAAAGGCCGCAACATCTTTCAGTCCGCATCAAATCGAGCGCCTCATCAGGAAATGCACTTTCCCATAAGGATGTGCTCGCACTCGGCTGATGCACATGCAAAGCTTTAACCAAAGCGGGTGATGAGAGAAGAATGAAGGAGACAAAAAAAAAAAAAAAAGATGCTAAAGCTTTGGTTGCCAGAGAGCTGTGAAGGCACATTAAAATTTATTCTTTCGGGGCAATTTGTGTTCTTTCATTCTGTGCAGAACTGAAAATTAGAAAACATTCCTTAGACAAGTTTTTCGGATGATCGCTGCAGATAAAACCGTCCCTCGTGTGTCTGCACAGTGGCGATCCTAAACAGCCAGGGATTGGGGAGTTAATGAATTAAGAGGATTCTGGTTATTGGAAACAGGAACTAATGGCCTTTGCTAATTGAAACGCTAATTAAGAGGTAAACTTTGCACCAAAAAATGGCAACAATTCCCATCACCATTAGCTTTGTAGTCCTGAAACTTATCCCGTTGTAAATCATGCAGAAATAGCTTAACTGATTGTATTTTATTAGGGATGCACGATATTTGGATTTTTGGCCGATATTCGAGATGTTAAAACTTATTTGGCCGATAACCGATACCAATATTTTTTCCTGGACCTACGCACAGAGACTACATCGCTTTCTCTGCTGTGGAATTAAAACACATTATTCTGCATGGTCTTTGTCAATTTGGCCTGCTACCAAATGCCAAAAAGGGGGGTTAATGTTAAATTTATTCATGACATTTACTCTCTCCAACACAATGACAACACGAACAGCGCAAATTTGTAAATTTTCACAAATCTAAACTCAACGGCG